ACAATGAATTTTCAGACTTGAGGAACTTTATTAATTGCTCTTATTTAGTGCAAGAGCTCAAATGGTGAACTTGAACTAGAAATATACAATAACTGAGAAGATATATAGAAACATCTTGCAGTTTAAGATTTTAATGGGAATTCTGGTGCTGCAGTGTTTTCATAATGCATTGTGGTTTTGGCAGACTTGAGGGTCTCTGCATTGAATTTTGGCAGACTTAAGGAACTTTGCCAATTGGTCTTGTTTTCTACTAAAGCTCAAACGGTGAACTTGAACTAGAACAGCTTAGAAGAAATATGGAAATGTCTTGTAATTTAAGATTTCAAGGTTAATTCTGGACCTGTAGTTTTTTCGTAATGCACTGGGCTTGCCAATCCACTCTGGCTGTAGCCTGTAGGTGTGCAGGTCCTTTTTTGCATAGTTAAGTTAATACTCAATTTTGCCCCTTCAGTTGAACAATGTGGTCCTCAATTTGGTCCTCAACTATTTGTTGAACATAATTCCCCCCAATATGCAATTTAGACTGAAGTTAGTCCTCAACTATCTGTTGAACATAATTCTCCCTCCCTCCCCCATATGCAATTTAGACTGAAGTCAGTCCTCATAGATATTTTTCTCTAATTAAGAAGTGTATCCTTTACATGTTGAGGACTAATTTGGGTCATATCTGAGGACCAAATTTTGTCCAAAGTTTTTTTCTGGATTTAGTCAATGGACAAAATACACTTCTTGTTTTGAATCAAATATGTTTGAGGACTACACTGAGCTCAAATTTCACACTCAGTGACCAAATTAGGTCCAGTAAAAGTTGAGGACCAAATTGGGGCTACAAAGTCAAGTCACAAAATTGAATATTCATGCTAAAGCAGATGATTGACAACTTTAAGTGTCATAGCATCGCTTAATGGTTTTTCCTTCTGAATTCCTATGCCCATCCAGGGCAGCGTTTGTGCATCATCCATCATCCATGAAATAAAGCTTGTGCTGTTGGGTTTAAGATGTTTTTAATTGGACTGAAATTTTATGGTCTAGTCTGATCTGTTGTGAACTAGTTTGGTCAGGTAGGTGTTTGGTTTGGACTGAAATTTTATAACTGTAGAAGTCTGGTCTAGTCTGCTTCGGACTTGAAACCAATCCAATTAAAACATTCTTAGTTCGATAGTATGATATCCAATCCGGAAAGTTGATGCTTACCCTGGTACACAGGTCTCTTATTTGTTCAGAAAGCCATGTCCTAATGATATAGTGATTTTCAAAAGTCCTCCAGTTCTTCAGGAAGTGGGATACACTGATGATGATGTCTTCATTAAACGAATTGTCGCAAAGGGAGGCGACACTGTTGAGGTAACACCATCAAAACACCACACCTGATTTTGATGCTCAAGGAAAGGGGTTCTTTGTTGGTTACTATGCTCTTTTGTAGTGCAGGTTCATGAAGGGAAATTAATAGTGAATGGAATTGCCAGAAACGAAGATTATATTCTTGAAAACCCCAACTATGAAATGACTCCGATAGTATGTTTACTTCCCACAATTTTGACTAAATCTCCCTCTTCTTTTAAGCAAATTGAGAACCATTCTTTCTATAAAAAGGTCTTTTATAACGTTTGTTGTGCTGAGTTCAAAAAACTTTTACCAACCTTGACTTTAATCTTTGGAGTTAACGTTGATTTCTTCCACAAGAATATAGCCTGTTAACTCTTAGTATTTTCATGTTTTTGTGCAGCGTGTACCTGAACAGTCTGTTTTTGTGATGGGTGATAATCGGAATAACAGCTATGACTCACACGTTTGGTAAGGATGTCATGTTTTTATCTAACTCATTTCTTATAATGATTAATTTGAAAATATCTTCCCTCGTAAAGTACATTACTTGTGGTCCCATGAGTGTTTGGTTACATTAAATCTTGGTCATTTCTTTACTCTTGGTGCACGGCTATGGACGTCTTGCCACTTTTATCATTTTAGTCACTTATCTGGAATATTTACCTGTAAATTATACGGCATTTGATTAAAGATAACTAGACAAGTGATAGATCTCATTTTAGACAGAAGACATAGTACTCATATTTAGGGAAACCACCTTATTTGCACCTACTATATAAGGCAATTTCTTTTTAAATGGAAAAAACGTATTATAACAGTTTGAGAATTAAAGTTTGGAAGAGTTTCTAGCATAAAGCTATGCCACATTGCCATTATATTTTTCATAAACTTAGTGCTAACTAATTCTTACACAATTAATCGGCACAATAAATTTAAAGTCACTCAAACCAAGTGAGTTGGGATTAAGGCAGTGATGGTGGTGCTTAATATATGATTTTCATTGAACATGGGTTATTCAATTTTATTAGGGGCCCACTGCCTTCGAAGAATATAATTGGGAGATCTGTATTCCGGTACTGGCCACCCAAAAGAATTGGTGCCACAGTTTCTCCAGAAGGCTGTGCTGTTGATAAGAAAGATAGTAGCTTGGCCGGAGAAGATACCAGTTTAGCAGCACAGTGACCTACTTTGTGAAAAAAGTTCAAGGGAGTGTTATTGCTAAACATAATATTTCATCATTCTAAATGCCATCTTTTGATTGAGCTGCAGACAGGGTCAATTATCATCTATTGGTTTATTTTCTTTGGCATTATTGACCCTTATGTGGTGTAGCAGAGAGGGTCAAATATGATGTATTGGTTTATTTTCTTTTGCATCATTGACCCTTATGTGGTGTAACATGAAGGCTTAATTTTTGAAACACAATAGCTTGTCAACTGTACAGACTATTCTACTTCAGCATTCTTGATTGCACATTATGTCATTATTATACCATCTCCCTATCCTATGCTCCTTGTATTCCTAATTGTGAGCCAACTGAGCATTTGAAGTATCCGGAAGTATTTGGGTGTTTGTTTGCATGCCCACATGCTATATTCCGATATGAGGAGTGTGAGTTGTGTTCATATCCCTGATCAAAGTTCTTAAATATTGGAGAAAAGATTTTATATATTTACACGATTTTCACTCCACTACTCCAGTAAATTCTCTTTTTAAGATCTCAAAATGAAGGGAATGTTAGACTCTACTTGCTAATGGTTGTTTGAGTGAATTTGTTTTTTTATTTGCAGCGAAAAAGTCATTCAAATTGTACTCCGTATAATTTAGAAGGTGATACCATAGCAAATCCAAATGAAACCCAGTTCCAATTGCACATCTGACTATCTGAGGTTACTAAACGCTCTGTTTCAATTATCAGTTTATTGCCATAGCGGCTTTTCCTGATACTCCTTGCCCAGCTATAATTGCCTCCCAGACCATCAAAGCTTCAAGCCTTCAACCTCCCTTGGAATCCAGGATGCTGCATCCCCCTCCCCTCTCTCTTGGAAGCCAATGTTTATATCATCTTGATAAGTAGAATAATTAAATCACTGTAGGCTACCAAACAATATTTTAACATTTCTAAATGAACAATGTAGATTGGGAGAAGGCCAATAACCCCTTACAATTTAAAAAGCCTCGGATAAACTCATGCACCCATGAATCTAAACTATAATATGCACCAGATAAACATTTTTTTTTTACAATATTCATGTTAAACATTTTTCATTAAACCTAAGGTCATCCTCAGTTTGCCTATGTGACCTTTTCCTTTCTTTACAAGCTTCCACTCCTTTTTCCCGCCCTTCTACTCAATCCCTCCCATGGACCATATATTTGGTTTTCCCCAAATAGAACTAATCATTTCATTTCTACCGGTAAATAATTAATTAATTAATCTAATTATCACTCCGTTGGTGGTGGGATCGGTCCGTGGTGGCGGTAACAGACTCCAGTAGTGGCACGGATCTCTTGCAGCGGTGGCATCAGATTTTTTGGCAGATCCTCTTAAAATTTCTGGAATTTTTTTCCAGTAAAGGCGGCCGGAGGTTTGACGGCAGCAGTGGTACGATGACCTGGGGGCATCAGTGCTCCAGCCCTTTGAGGGTATTTAGGTCCAATTACAATTAAAAAGTCTTATTTAAGGTATTTTAAACTAGTTGCTCCTATTTTTGGATATAAACTTTGTTTTAGTCTTATTAAGGTAAACCACCTGTCCACCCATCAAGTATTACTATTTGACCTAAAAGCAGGTCAAATAATTTAGTGAAAAGAAGGAAAATAATAGTCGACAAAATGTTTTACTCCATGTTTATTTGGTTTAAATATTCAGTGGAAGACTTAGGAGGCTTGGGGGCTCCTGAAGTCCTGATCTCGATGATTAGTTATAAATATACTAGTATTTCTCTTATTAATTTATACATGTTGCATACAAATACTCTCATCCATGGTAGATCGGTGGCTACTGAATTTGAATTCAACTTACACCCAAATCATATTTATATAAAAGTTTGTGTAGCATTACCAATACTTTTGTCTAACATTATTGATGATCAGGCCGAATTGCTGTTAAGTATTATAAATTTTAATTAATTAAATACATTAACATGTGTAAACTCTGACCATCAAAATTTTTATACTCTGACCATTAAAATAGAATCACTAAGAAATACTACTAGTACTATTTAGGGAAAATGGAAACTAATAATCCAACCTTTTAGCGGTCTTCTTTCAATAATCCCACCTTTTGATTATTCATGAATAATCCAACCTTTACACCTCATCTTCATTCATTGGTCCCTGGTCGGTTAATGACCTACTATTCCAAGTTATTTTCTTATCTTTGCAAAATATTATCTTTGTGAAAGATGAGATTTATGGTATAATGATTTGCAAAGATAAGAAAATAGCTTGGAATAGCAGGTCATCAACCGGTCAGGGACCAGTGAATGAAGATGAGATGCAAAGGTTGGATTATTCATGAATAACCAAAAGGTTGGATTATTGTAAGAAGACCGCTAAAAGGTTGGATTATTAGTTTCCATTTTCCCTACTATTTATTAGTAGGGGTGTTCAACCTAAATCTCTGTCATTTATACTGTTATTCTTATTTCCTCTCTTATCTGTGGTTGATGAATTATATAACGTTTTCTTCTCCTTACCTAATAGGGACTAAGGTTGTGATAATGATAATGTGTTTTTGTAACAATTATATTTGAAAGAGATGAGCGCCTATAAATAAAATAATAATCACCTGAAGCTAGACACTCTAACATATCGTTATTTACAGATTGCCTGTTAAGCTGCTCCTAATCATGCTCCCCCAATTTTGTCTGTATACAAGTTAATACCACTCTGCAAAGTCATCTAATGCATCCTCAAGAATTCCACTTAGAAGGAGCTTCTCCATGTCAGCCACTACATTTTCAACTTCATTGCAAGTGAAACCTTCCCTCCAACCCAAATCACAAGCTCTTCTTACTGCTCCTTTGCACCACAGATCTCTCTCAATCAATGCGCTAGAAGCATCTACACAAGGGGCATCAGTAGTAAGATCTCTGTAGCTTATCAAAGTGTCTATCCCATCACAAATTTCAGCCACCAACTTGTCTAGGGGTATTATACAAGCTCGTGATCTGATAGGTAATCGATCAGATGACATTTTACTCTGGGTGTATTTGTTATCTAATAATTCACTTGCACAATCCAGTAAGACTTTTGTGTCAGGCATTTCGTCATTCAAGTATACAGGCTTCACTACAGGTTCCCATGTGCATGCATGAAAAAGCTCTTCCGCACGTGTAAGGAAAGGTGTGCTGCTTAGAAGAAAATTCTTGGTAGTGTTGGATTCAAGCTTCAATTTTGGATTGATGAAAAACTGATCATGTTCATTGCATTCACTTCCAATGGTTAGCATCATAGAGTTGCAAGAAAGATTTTCATCTGTGCTTTGATCATCTGCAATAAGTAAACAGAATTATCACATAGGATGTAAACTCATTTTTCATCAGGGACAAAGAGCTGCCAGAATGAAATTGCCTCCATATTACTATATTAGATTCAATGATTACTCATTACTATAGTTTGGTTATGAAACAGTGCACGTCAAGCTTTCCCCCATGACATTCATGATGCAGTGAAACAAACAAACAAAATGGACCATAAGTTATGTTTTTGTTTAAAAGGTCATACATATTTGAGTAAGTGTATTCAAAATCAATATGTAGTTAGTGTCAACTGTCAAGGACCAAAAGTTTCAAGAAATTAAAAGTCATCTACCAAAAATCAGAAAAGCAAAACTCGGAAACCAAGTTTGGAAAGCTTTGTTATATTCATCGACCAGAATTTTATAATGAGCACATATCTAATGTCTACTTGCACATGATTCTACTTGGATAGTTGGATCACACACCAGATGTGAATACTGGCCACTCAAATCATTAGTGCAAGAGTAATTGAAGAAAACAATTGACTAACCAAAGGGTGAAGTCTGGGAGACAACAGATATTTCTTCAAAATGGAGATTTTCTGATTCATTAGTCTCTTTCTTGGGCTTAAGGTCTATAAGTGCTTTCTTGTCTACCATATTTTCACCCTGCATTGACATGAAACAAAACTAAACTGTTAAAGGAACCAGATCTATGAAAAAAGGCTGACTTCGAAAATGGGAAACGAGCGGCCCTGAAGAAAATATGATTCAAATCTAAAATGCAGGTCAAGGAAGAAGAATGGACTCACGATAGACACAGAAGAACTTTGCACTGGCTTGTCGTTCTTTTTCACGTGTGTCCTACTTCTGGAGTCATGAAATGCAGCTTCTTCATCTAGGGTGGAATCTGAGGCTATGCTATTCTGCCACATAATTACTTTTTCTGATATATTCGACACAACCTGCTGTTTTTTTAGCTTGACACTAGTCAACTTCTCTAGGTCATGCGGTTTACAAGCCTCCATATATTTCACTTTTTTCATATCTTCTTTCCTAATATTAGGGGATGCCCTTTTATCAACAACTTCTTTCTTCTCCAGCCTATGCTTCCTAGGATTGGTTGTCCTGTTAGGAGATAGTTTTCCCAGAACTGTGATCCCATCATCATTGAGACAAGAAACAGCCTGTCTGTGTTTTTTACTCCACCCTTCTCTCAACTCTGTTCTTCTCCATTTTGTATTCATCCCTTTTTTATCCAATTCATTTTCCTCAAAGGGGCATGCCATGGAATATAATCTTTCTTCCTGTAGGTCAGGAGCATACAGAGGCTTCATGAGCACTATGGGTTTACAACCATTACCAAATTTATTTCCCAAATCCGAAACAATGGGATGACAGGTCCTACACATTGATTCATCAATAGACTTGCTTCTGAGTTGCATACCTCGAGTACATTCTTGTGTCGCCCTTGGTTTTGGGTCAACAGAGGTGGACTTCTTTGCCTTTGGCAAACCAATTTCAAACTTGGGTCTCCTTTGATAGGGAAGACTGTGATTTTGGGACGTGAACTTAAGTGTCCCTGAAGAGATTTCTTCAAGACCCATAAGCTTTGCAACCAAACTAGTAACCTTTGGCTTGAAATGTTGAGCCTTAGGGAGAGAACTGTCATGAGAAGAACACTCTTGAGATTGAAACATAGAGGATTGGCTAGAGCTAGTAGAGGGAAGATCAGGAGATGACATTAACCGTATCCTATCCAAACAAGCTTTTTCACAGGAGGATCGACTTGAGCTAGTTGTAGCAAGATCTGGAGAGATTTCAATTTCTCGCCTACCAAAACTACCCTTTTCCAACGCATGAGTAGGCAGTGTTGACAAGTTCTGCTTAGCAAAGCTGTCCAATATCGATTCCCTTAGCTCCTCATAACAATCCCAAGAAGCTCCATCAATGGAATGTCTTGCCTTTCCAAACTCCAACTTGTACTTCTGATTATCATGTGTAATCCTTTCAGATTTAGTCCTCTCAATGCCTCGTATTCCCACATTCTTCTTCAACTTCCCTTTCCCACTTCCCTCTTTTGGCTTGTTCAACTTTGTCATGAACCCTGAAGCCTCTTCTTGCAACTTCTCGAGCCTTTCTAGAGACTCCTGCAAATCAAGAGCCCCTTTCAGCAACTCTTTGGCTACATCTTTGGACTTTCTGTCCGAGGACCCAATTCCTTTTGACCATGAATCAATCACTTGGGTAAGTTTCTGGGCTCCTCTAGAAACTTCCATGAGGTGGGAAGAACATGAACAGTTTAATTCATGCCCAGATGCTCTGGAGACCATTTCTTCCTTACGAACTTCACTACCCTTGGACTTTCTTACTGTCTTGCATTCAACTACACCTTTCGGATCATCACAAGAGAGAAATGATCTGTATGCAGCAGATTTTGGTTTTTCCCGCGGCATATTCGGCAGCAACAATAATTTTATCTTTCAAGATCTCTGAACAATTTCATATAAACATTTCAAAGTTTTCTCTGAACTCTTCCGAGTGGATTCAGATTAACTTATCTATCTCAAGCTGCCAAAATACAACTCTTCTTCAGCTTTAGGGTACTGGAAGCATTGACAAAAATATGGAGAAATGTATTAGCCATGGTCTACAGATAATGGGGGGATATATGCACATAGACACATAGTAGGCAGTGTTCTCCTAATATATTAATCCTTCAGTGTCATTTTGAAAGATTCAAAGAATAAAAAAGGGAATATATTTTGAATTCAAACGAAGCCCCATTTAAACAGATAAGAACACTGTTGTGTGTTGAAATGAGCAATAATGTTTGAATTCCAAACCCAAGGATCAACCCATTTCAACATCAAGACACAGTAAACATTCTTTAAAACATGATATTTAACTCAAAAACAGTATACTTATAACCAAGCAACTGACTTTTTGTTGGGTTGCTGATTGATAAGAACAAGATTGATTGAACAGATTGATTCTCTTTCTCCAGTCTCTATCTTTAACCTCAAAGGCGGACGGATAAACAGGGGCTGATGAGAAAAACACAATACGAGCACCAAACAAACACCAGCTTGCTTCAGGGACTCCAACCCGAATCCTTGATCGATTGAGAAGCTTCAGATCCAAACAGAAGAGAAATATGCAGATCCAAACGAGCCTATGGATCTTCAATGTGGGTTCACCGGCCACTGTACAGTACGGACTTCATTCAGGAATCACGACTCTTGGCCCTTTCCCCTTTCTTTTTGGCTTTTTTGCTTGCCCGGCATTGTACAATCAGAGTGAGAGAGTTAATGAGAAAAAAAATGGGTGGTTGTTAGACAAATGATGTCGGATCACAGATTTCACACACAGAACAAAAAGTCTCTTCATTCACAGTTAGTTGTACGGGCGGGGGGAGCGAAATAGCCATGAAAATGCTCGTGAAATTCATTAAAATTTGAAGCCTTTTAAACTGCTTCCAGCTTGGAGCTTCGCTTCGGGTGCTTAAATTACGCCTCACGTGTCCGGCGGTAAACTTTCCTTGATGTCTCATTAAATTAAATGTTAAATGTTAATGTCGTACTAAATTAATGTTAAATGTCCCTTAACCAAGGAACTCTTGTTGTCGCGAGATAAACAGGCCGTCGACATATTACTGAAGGGGTATTGATGGAAGGAATAGTGGTCCCTGGCTTTCAAATAATTAGTGAGAAGCAGCTTCTTTTTAACTGTAATAATAATTTGAATGAATACATTTGAAAGTTGGGATGTTAATGCGTCATTTAAAATGAATCAGATTGGTTGATCGATCTTAAATTGTTGAAAATGACGCTTCCGTTCGTTTGGGCTCACGTGTTTTGTATACATTGAGTCGAATCGGACCAAACATAGCATTGTCTACCAAATATGGTTACACTACATGTAAAGAAATTTAGGCCGAGAACCCGATCAGACTTGATCATCACTAAATTTGGGCAAAGACCGGGCGGTCTTGACCCGAAACTCAATTGTGTGAAACTCAATTGTCTTTTAATAGACATTTGTTATTTATTGCATTTTACCTTCACGGTAGCCCAATTAGTTGAGTAGTGGGAAAATTGGAACATAGAACAATTTCAAAGATTGAAACCCGCAATTATCATGCGGAGATTATTGCCCCTGTGTGGTAGGTTGGACTTCTAATGTGCACGAATATAAGGTTTACCACAATTTGAATGACTGAGTCATTGTGACTTACAACCTTCTAAATGCTTTGTCAGATCGGATCGTGGGAGGCCCTTGGGGTTGGAGATTCAACCCTTTGAACATTGTTATTTGTAGTCTAATATAAGAAAAAAAATGTCTTGGAGAAGAATTTTTAAATGTGTGAAAATGTGTGAAGATGTACAACTTTGTCATATTTGAGGGACATGTAGAACCTATGTAGTAAAACAAATTGTAATTGAGCTTTGTGTAGATGAGAGATATTAATAAGAATCATAAATTCAATGTTTTAAAGGAAAATAACAAAGTTTTAGGAATATTCAAATAAAAAGAAAGCTAGTAAAATGACTGCAATACATAGAGTAATATCAATTAACTAAAAATATTAAGGGACATACAAGGCTTTTGGCGTGGTACCAAAAGTGTCAATTACAACAGGTAGAAGAAATTAAAGTACTATAACTGATTACTCCGTGTATAATTAACCTGAAATTGATTAGACAGAACATAAAACAAATACGCCTAAATATCGATTCACAAATAAAACGGAATTGTGATTTTTTTCTCCTGATTTCAAGAAATTCACGGTTTGAATGTCTTAGATGTGCACTCCATTTAAAATTCCAACGGAGTTGGACTAAAAACGTGATTTGTTATGACTTTTCATCGCTGTGTTATATCTTTTTTTAAAATATACTTCCTCCGTTCTTTTTTAGTTGCAACGGTCAACATTTCACACTTGCCAACACACATCTTTGACCGTAATTATATCTTAATCTCTATTAGTAAAAAATATTTAAAAATTAGATTTTGAAAATTTGTAATGAGATGAATTGAACAATATTTTTTTAAAAAAATAATTTTCATAAAATAATAATATAAAATGTAGTCAAAGTAGAACATGTGAATAGTGTAAAATTCAACATGTTGCGATTAAAAAGAGAAATAATTTTCATAAAATAATAATATAAAATGTAGTCAAAGTAGAACATGTGAATAGTGTAAAATTCAACATGTTGCGATTAAAAAGAGACGGAGGATAATATTAGTGAATACGAAGTACTGTATAAAGTACTCCATTTTAGAAGGAATCAAATCAAATGCGAGAATAATACAATAATCATTTTTGAGGACCTTTTCAATTCCAGAAAATATTCATTTTTTTCAATTCAGATATTCATCATTAATATATAGGTATTAATGAAACAAATTCAATTACTCAAAACGATACTCAGAATTCAGATACAAAGGTTCTTTGATACTCATCATTAATACATAGGTATATAGTAGGGGTGGACATGAAAGTTTGGTTTAACGGAACCGAACCGACGGAACCGTATCAAATTGAACTAAACCGAACCGAAACCGGAACGTATTCAATTTGATTTGAGTTTGGTACTATTTCTTCCAAACCGTATTAAACCAAATCGAACCGAAACCGATAAAAACCGAACAAAACCGAACCGCACTAAAGAAATTCAAAAAAACCTTCATATATTATTAAAAACTAACAAATTCGAACCGAACTAAACAGAACCAAACCAAACCGAAAAATAGTATGGTTTTTGTTTGGTAATAATTCTTCCAACTCGTTCCAAATCGAACGGAAACCGAAAAAAATGAACTGAAAACCGATATGCCCAACCCTAGTATATAGAATTACATCTGCTGTAAGGTGTTGGCCGAAATGGAGAGAAAGGCTAAGGAAGCTAAGGAGGCAAACTATATGCCTAAGAACATTTCTACTTTGGAGGAAAACAGTAGCATTACCATTCCCACACAAAGGAATGGAAAGGAACATGAGACATCAGAACCTCACAAAAATGAGTGAACCGGCTTAGAAGGGGATCTTCTAAATACACCACAGAAGATGAGGATAATGTGATGGATCCTCCTAGGGATGTTGATACTAACATTGATGAAACTGTCCGGGTCATTAAAACTACCCTTCTTGACACTTTCATTGATGAGGTTGTTGTTGACATGGATGCCGAGGAAGTCCTTAAGCCCATCATTAAGGTTAAACATTGGAAAGAGGTTGATATCCCTACTATCAAGCTAAACCAAAACCTTCGGGTTGTGGAGGATAATGAGCCCGGATTGGCTTTTACCAAAACTTGCTTGGAAGGTCTTCCCGGGATAAAGGCTAATGATAAAGGTTATTGTTGAGTTCAATATAACACGATATAGTAAATATATGTATAAATGTGTATGAACAACTGTTTTTACGTGGAAACCCGAAAGGGAGAAAACCACGGGACTTTTTAGGCTAATGTCCAAGCCTTCTCATTCTCATTAGGACTCTCCTCACCATTACATAGTACAATTTGAGCTCCCATTAATGGAGTATTGAAAGCTAACTAAGAAGGAGGGAGAAGAAAAGGATCCCTAAAACATGGAGGGAAGCCTCATATTTATAGAGGAATGGGGAAGGGTGCTCTCCACCCTAATGGGCCAAATACGGGCCTACTGGGCCAAAGTGGGCCGGATGGCCAAAATGGGCCTTACTGAACAAGCTCCGTTAATTATGTTGTGTTTGTGATATATATTATGAGTACTCAATCATAAACATATTGTTTGATAAATACACAAATGAACACTTTCTGAACACACCGTTAAACTTCTTTTACCTTGTCCCGGATTGAAGTTTTACGGGAGAATTTAATTATTTAATTATATTATTCACACCACGGGGTTGGGTAAATAATATAGTTTATAATTAAGGTTGTCATTGCACTTAAACAACTAGTCTCGTTTTGGCCATCACTAGGAAATGTTGACTAGTTACTTAGTTTAGATGACTTGTGTTGGGTCCTAAAATATTTATCTACAACTTCTCACAATCTATCTAAGAATAAAATTAGCAATTATGTCTCTCAATTAAACATTAAACAGTTAGTTACCAATTTCTACCCCTACTTCCTATTGGTTGAACTTTGTGTTGATAAAAATCTCTCATCTCAATCACTTTTATTTTATTACTTTTCCAAACAACCAAAAATCAAAAGAAACGCATTCCCAACTTTAATCTTTAGTTTGTGCTTAGTTATTTTATTTCCCGCTTCTCTGTGGTTCGACACCCTACTTCCTTGGGTAAAAAAAATAGTTGTGTGCCCATTATATGCTACACGCCAACTTGGCGCCGTTGCCGGGGAAGCGGTTTTGAAAAAAATTGAAAGCATGAATTTTTGGTTTTAGTTATTGTAAATTGTGTGTATATTATTTTCTTGTTATCTTGTTTACTTTTGTAGGTTAAAAAAAATTAAAAAAAAGTGATTAATTAAAGTTCAAAAAAAAAATTGGACTATTATTAATGATCTTAGCTGGCATTGGAGTTGGACTTGTTGACTGAACATATATATCTGGACATTTGGACCATTGGACATATTGTTACATATTAATTCAACGGATAATCCGCCTATATGGTCGGACCGTTTACTTGTACATAATAATTTAAAGGATACTCCGCCTACATGGTCGGACCAACTCTTTAATTTCTGCACTTTAATTATCGCACTTTAATTTCAGCAATTTAATTTCTGCATGTTTTTTGCATCCCCAAGCTTGTCGGCCGTGTCCGCTTGTTGGTGGCGTGCACTTTTTATTTTTTTATTTTTCTTAATAATCCCTAGACTGTCGGCACAACTGCATCTTGGTGGAGACTGTATTTATTACTATAGTTTTTTCTTCTTCTTCTCAAATCACCATATCTGTCGGCCCTGCCGCATCCTGGTGAATTACTGTATATATTAATATTGCTTTAAGGGCTCACTAGTCTCGGTTTATATCAATTGACTACGTGCGAACCTTAATTAATTAATTAATTACACAAATTTTTTTCTTTTCATCTCTCTCGCTCTCTCTCTCTCTCTATCTCTCTCTCTCTCTTCCCAATCCCAATTCCCTTCTGCTTATGCTTACACGTTCACGTGGTGCAAATTGTAAATTGTTATTCTTCTCTGACATTGAAAAGCACATACGTGAACAGAAAAAGATAAAAAAAATGTCAAACGATATTGTTGTAAATGAGCAGGAACCAGATCAACCAATCGTGGATCAGGTTACAAGGATCAGGAAGCCATTATATGATTCTGTTACGCCTCCCGTGAATGAGCATGACAGTGTTATTCCACCGGAGGTTAACATGAATCAATTTGAAATCAAGACTGCTATCATCCAAATGGTTTCAAATGATCAATTTGGCGGTGCGCCAATGGAGGATCCAA